TTTCTTTCTTTCTTTCTTTCTTTCTTTCTTTCTTTCTTTCTTTCTTTCTTTCTTTCTTTCTTTTTCTTTCTTTCTCTCTTCCTCTCCCTCTCATACACACACACACACACACACACACACACACACACAGAGCACTTTTGTAGCTTAACAGACATGCATTTTGAAGCAGCTCCTTTAAATTTCTCCAAGGCTGGAGTGGATTCCACCATCCCCTGTCAGACTGCACTCCCTCACTCCAGGCACTTTAACTCACAATGGAAAAGTGATACTTGCAACATCCATGGGGAATCCTTGGAGAAGTTTTTAAAGGACCTGCTTCAAAATGCATTTCTTTTACTTTGCAAAAGTGCTCCAAGGCTCGATTTACTCCCACCCCCTCCCTCTCATTCCAGGCACTTTAACTCACACGGGGAAAGCGGTACTTGCAGCGTCCATGCCTTTCTTCCTTTCTCCGGGGGAGAAAGAGGACGTGGGGAACGGAAAGCTAGGAGAGCGATCAGGGCAAGTGAGCGTCCGGGTGACTGAGTCGGGGGCATGGCCAGCCAGGGGTCACCACCGGTTCAGCGACCCATGCCAAATAACTGCTACCAGTTCGCCTGAATAGGTGCGAACCGGTTGAATAGCACCTCTGGGCAGCTCTCAGAAACTTCTGGCATTTGCCAAATATCTTGATGGGAAGGCATAGTATCAAAATAGGCAGAGCTGTCCTTAAATAAGAGTTACCTTACAATTAGAACCTCTTCTGACATCCCAATTACAGTTTTACGGATGACTGTGAGAAACATGGAAGAGAAACATGGACCTGCTTTTGCTCATTAACCTACTAGAAAGACTGAGATTAGGTAGGGCAAGAATGGGTCTTATTAAAACTGAGCTCACAGAAGACCTCTGGGAGCTTTTTGAACTTTGTCACTGGTCTGATCAAGCAACTACTAACGTCAGAAACAAAAATTGAGGATGACAAGAAAATGATCAACCATGACAGAGTTAGACTAGGTCTTAGATAAAGTTTGAAAAGCAATTAGATCCTATTCATTGAAAGGGGATAGGAAAGCATTCAGCTGGGACTTTGAAGGGGATATAATCTTCTTTTACGCACATTTCTCAAGGAACTTAAAATAAATAGGCAGTTGTATGCAAGAGTAGCTTATGAAAAGTTCTTGAGTAAACTTTATGTGGAATTCCTCTAACTATAAAGGTACTTTAATTATTTTTTTTTCCCTTCATGCTATTGGGAAATCTTTGGTTTTTTAAATTCACACTTGTGAACTGGCAGTGATATTTGAAATTACTATCTCTCTCCTCAAGGCCAACAAATTCAGGTTCAGGCTTTCCCCAAAGTTGACTTTTCAGACCCTGAGGCAGCTCAATCAAGTTCAATTTCTACAATGCCACTTTTAATTTCACAGAATGTCAGCCATTCTGCTTGTTATTTTAATTTTAAATCACAAAACCAATCTTTTGTCAGCAAACCATAAAACACACATACACACACATAAACACACGTGCACCTACTTGGCTTATGTGAGCTGGAGTTAATATCCAATCAAGAACACCAGACCATCCTGAGAAAACCCCCAGTGGTATTGCATAGGCCAGAGCAATCATCAAAAACCGGGGATTGCTGGAAAGTAAAATATATATATATAAGCAGGTTTGTCAACAGTAACAGATCAAATTTCATTGCAATACTTTCCTCCTCCAATTAATCCTCAAGGACACAACAGGCACTGAATTGGACAGCAAAAAGTTACAGTTGATGAAATTTTGCTTAATTTATTTGGAGTTATGATGCAGCAATCATATTTAAATGATGTTCGTTTTCTAGCAACACTGTATATATATATAGATTTTATTACTCTGAGAAGCACAGAGCCGGAGACAGAAGCCTGAAGATGATGAATGAGACTTCATCGAAACGTTGCCTAGATACTTCGAATCTTACGCGGGAGAAAACCCGAACAACCAAAGATCCACATACAAATACCCGCGAGAACCTCAGAA